TTCAAAACTCTTACTCTGCAGTGCATCCTTGACTAACGCCTGAGTTAATTGAAATCAGCTTTCCTAAAGTCTAGCACTTTCACCCTACTAGTTACCTTACCCACTTGACATCTTATGGTGAATTCTATTATTTGGTGACTGTCCCCCAGGTGACCACTGATCTGTAGGTCTCCTACCATGTCATCCCCCGTTGCCAATACCAGGTCCAGTAAGGCATTCCCCCTAGTGCCAAACAAAGTGGGTATACGTGCCACTTTTGACATGTGCACTGTGGGTTGACCACCCCTGTTCTAGGACATAGGTGATCCTGTTTTAAGTCCCTGTTCTGACCATAGGCAATGTCATACCTTTCCTTTAGAACAAAAAACTGATGTAAACTTTATGCATATAATTACCTTGGCTCCTTATCTTTCTTGATAGTGATGACCAATTCTTTGATATTTGATATTGCTTGTTATTTGAGTATTTTTGGTGTATGTTTGTGTCAAGGTACTCTCCTGGCCCCCAAAACTCTTGTGTTTGCTTCCTGTGGTTTGATGCTAAGGTTCTTAAGACTGCACCTAGCCGTGTTTCTATACTTGCATCAGCAGTTACTGAGGCTATCCACTAGATATGAGAACAATGAGTTGAGCAATAAGCGAAAGGGATGGAAATAAAGGAAATCTTATGAGAAGACCCATTCTTAAGAAATGTACAGCCCCATTCTTCCACAGTTTATAAAGTTTATATCATGTTTGTATGGTGCCTTGATCAATAGATTATTTCATCACTGTCGCCATTATTACTAGTGTAAATAATAATGATAGCTATCTAAAATGTGATTGTTTTACAATATTTGCCCAGTGCAACAGGGTGCTTGTCATCTTTTAGAGATGTTGAGCCAAATCTTTACCTATGAAGTCAAAGGAGCTATGACAAAAGGGGGTGGTGGGGAGGGAGCAGGGGTGAAGAGGACTATTGAAACTGCTTCCAATCTCCCCTTGGCTTGGAGTAGCCTTACGGTTTCAGGGCCTACTAACACTGCCCTTCCCCCCTGTTATTGCGGGGTGAATTTGGAGCAGGAGAGGGGCTGGGAGGTTGGGCTTGCAAACCATGTGGTCAGCCAAGATGAAAAGGAAAGGCCCCAGCCAGCCTACAGCTTTAAAAGTGAGTGCAGGCTCTGCTGGGACAGGCATCCTGGGAGGCTTCCACTAAAGGGCAGTGCTCAAGTGTATTCTTTGGCATTGCCTTTTGGTGGAGACTGAGATGGGGTGCAGGGATATAGTTTTCAAGTTTGTTTCTGTTTGTTGCTTTAATTGAACTACATGTTTTTTGTAGGGAAGGGAAAAAGGAATGAGTTTTGGAGACTGTCACAACCCTCTACCTTCCTTTTGAGGGGAAGTGGGAGGGACAGTGAGGCAGTGGGAGGACTTCTCTGTGTATAAGGGAAGGGAACAAGAATGGGTAAAATGTTGGGAATATGGATGGGAGATATTTTTATTTTTATTGACTGTGGGTTGGTACTTGAGGTTGAGTGGGGCAGGGAAAAGCTCTGCTTGTTCAGAGACAGGGAAGCATGGGTGAGCAGGGTTGGGTGCATTGCTACTGAATTGGACTTTTTTTTTCTGGGTGGGGGGAGTTTATTTTTATATTGATATTTTGGTTTGTTTC